ACCTGGCTGCGGGGCCCCGCCTAGCAGGCCCGAACTCAGGTAGGAGGGTGCCGGCACGCAAGGCAGGTCGCCAAGGACCAGAACTGCACTCGTCCGGATGGTGGGCGCTTCGGGGGCGAAGCCTTTCGGATCCCCCCAGCAGCTGACAGTCATGTCCCGGCAGCAGACCTCCTGAACTCTACCATCAGGCTCACAGTCACTCAGAGGCGAGGACCAGTGGGCCGGCCCGTTAGTTACACAGATTCAGTCAGCATCTTCCAAAAACACCCATTCTTTTCTTTATTATGCTGCACCTACTGTTTGCTAATAAGGTACAGTAAGAATCTGTGACTGAGCTCCAGGTTAATTTTCCTTAAGTCTTCTGTTTCTTGGGCTAATTGTTTGGGAACTGGGCAACTTTTTGTAGAATCCGTACTAAACTCCACAAGTCAAGGCTTTACTATTGACCCCGCCTTCACAGGAGAGAAAGCTGACTTGTGCTACATTTGACCAAAAGGTGCCTTTCTAGAAAAATCCGCTCCTGCCCCTGGTGTAACAACCTCCAGCTCCTCTCCTAATAAAACTCCAGTAATCTGTTTAGTTTGTCCTGAGTGCCTTCCTGGTACTGGTGTTCACCAGTTCGCTGGGAATGCAGGCTTCAGTCAAGACTTGTTTCCTGTCCTGGAAAGGGGAGGGGACGGGATGGGAATGCTGGCTACTGTGTTACAGGTCAGACTAGGAAGAGATCTCTCTGTTCATTACAGTCATTAAATGTCACAGGAGCTTCAAGGGACATACCTGTTCAAGCTGTTTTCCTATTGCTATGATTAAAAACAAAAAGGAAAGGGTTTGTTTGACTTAAATTTCCAGGGTCAGGGTCATAAATTGATCATTGAGGAAAGTCAGGGCAGGAACTGGGGAAAGACAACTTAATGGCTTGCTACCAGGTCATGGTTCAGCTACATTTCTGAAACAGCCTGTGCTGGCCTGCCTAGAAATAGCACTGCCCACATTGGGGTGAGCACTGCTTTGTCAATTAGCAATCAAGAAAAAAACCCTGGGCGTTGGTGGCACACACCTTTAATCCCAGCAGTCAGGAGGCAGAGGCAGGTGGATCTCTGCGTTTGAGACCAACCTGGTCTACAGAGTGAGTTTCAGCACAGGCTCCAAAACAATACAGAGAAACTCTGACTCCAAAAACAAAAAAAGAATGAACAAAAACGCCCCACGAACATGCTCACAGGCCAGTCTGATGGAGGCAATCCCCTGAGTCCAGCTCAAATAGCTGTGATATCAAGTTGACAGCTGAAGCTAACTAGGAGACCAGTGTTTTATAGTATGCCATCTTTTGTGTGAATGATAAACACATTTGCTTATATTTTAAACCTTTTTTTTTTTTTTTTTTGAGACAGGGTTTTTCTGTGTAGCTTTGGAGCCTGTCCTGGAACTTGCCTTGCAGACCAGGCTGGCCTCTGAACTCATAGAGATCCACCTGTGTCTGCCTCCCAAGTTCTGGGATTAAAGGCAC